AATTCGTTCCATCCCACGGAGTCTGTTAATCTCCCTCCTTCATCCTTGTCAATTGAAACTATGCACGCGCATTCGCTTATCAACAAACAGACTGTTCAGTCCCCTTTGCAACCCATGGGACAAAGTCCACGCGCGCGCGCGTCGTCACGCGTCATGGCTCGCAAAGGTTTCAAGGTCGAGGTTCCCGAACACCCATGCGAGCATGGTTTTTTTTCCAATTGGTGTTGTCAGAAAATCTGCGCGTGCGCTCGTGCGAATTCCTGAGACAGCCATAGCCTCTGATAAAAACAAACAAACATTTTCTTCAATCAAGACCACGCGGGCCCCGCGCGCGCATGTCGAAATCAGTCGAACGCGCTCGCGCGCTTTGTGTGTGTGTGTGTGGGGTGGGGGCACGAGCCTTGTCAAATCATACCATGCGGGCCACTCGTGCGCGTCGGTCGCGCGCGTGTTGTTTTTTTCTACGATCTTCATCAGCGACGATACTTGGACAGCATCATCGTCGCCGGCGTAACCAGCATCGGCGCCGTCATTGGCTGTGCCGTCGTCGTCATCATCGTCGCCACCATCGCTACTATTATCATCGTTGCTTGTGTTGCCGACGTCATCATGATACCGTGCCCTCCCGGGCCACAGATCCGCATTGAATTGCCCGCGCGCCAGCGCGGCGTTTGACACCCGCTGGGACGTTGCCATGGGTGAGCGCCATCGCGGCGCACCCGTTGTGCCAAGCCAGCTGGCCGCTCTGCGCGCGAACCTGCGCGCGCCAGCGCGGCCGCAGAGATGCGGCAGCCATGGCTAAGCAGTCGTCGCAACCGCCGCCGCATGGGTTTTGTAAAACAGGTTGCGGGTGGGAGTGTGGGGTGAGTGTTCGAGCAATGGGCTTGGCAACTCAGAGTTCTTCAAGATAACTTGTACGGAACAAGCACGTATGTATTTATGTCTATGTGTATGTATATATGTATGGACATACATACCTAAACATCACTACGCCGCTGACACCACGTATCCTTGCATAGCGTACACTATATTGCGCCACATAGCTTGCACCACATCGAGTGCACCGCATAGAGTGCACCACGTAGACTTGACCACGTAGCTAACATCACACATACTACACGACGTAGTGTGCACTACATCGCTCAAGCCGCATATAGCGGACCTCGTAGACTGCACCACATAGCTTGCACCACGTAGCTCGCAGCAAACATCTTCATACGTTGGCTTCACATTTATTGCGCCACGTAAATTATTCCACGTACATTATCTTGCATGTATTGCACCATTTAGATTGTGCGCCACATAGAGTGCACCTTTAGCATACACTACATCGGCTGTACCACGTTGGTTTTCCTTTCTAAAAGGAAATATATTTTACCTCCCCGGAGTTAACGATCCCCCTGGGGTATCGCGAATTTATACTGATTTTACACACTCGTCCATCATAAACATGAGTTCGTATTATCCCAGCCAAACCGGTATCACTCCCCCCCACCATCCTCTGCAACAAAAACAGTATGCGCGCACTCGTTTATCAATAATCATCCCTGGCAACAGATCGGACGAAGTGCACACGCGCGCGTCGTCGCGCGCGCATGCTGAAATCCTTCAATAACGCTCGGTTTCGGAAGGATTTCAAAATCGAGTTACCAAAAAACATACAACATCACATGGTTTCGCAACACGGATTTCCCCAACAAAACTTACGCGCGCGCTCCTGCGAAATCTTAAGGAAACCATGGTTTTTCAATATTAAAAAAAAAGGCTTCAAAACGGGCTTCGCGCGCGCGCGTGTCGGAATCTTTTGAACGCCATTGCGCGCGTGCCGTCGCGAGAATCCTCAGCAAAAAACGAGACGAAGTGCAGACGCTCGCGTCGTCGCGCGCGCATGCCGAAATCCTTCAAAAACCTGTGGTTTCGGAAGGATTTCAAAATCGAGTGTCCAAAAAACATACAAAAATACAGGGTCTCGCAGCACGGATTTTCAACAAAAGCGTGTCCGCGTGCTCTTGCGTCGTCGTCGTCGTCTTCGTCGCCGTCCTCCCTCCTCCCTCGTCGTCGTCGTCGCCGTCGTCGTCCTCTGTCTTTCCTCGTCGTCGTCGTCGTCGTCTTGGCGTCGTCGTCGTTGCCGTCGTCGTTGTCGCCGTGGTCGTCCTTCCTCCTCCCTCGTCGTCTTCGTCGGCGTCTCGTCATCGTCCCTCCTATTTCGTCGCCGTCGTCGTCGTCGTCGTCGTCGTCGTCGTCGTCGTCGTCGTCTTCCCTCCTCCCTCGTCGTTGTCGTCGTCGCCGTCGTCGTCCTCCCTCCTCCCTCGTCGTCGTCGTCGTTGTCGTCGTCGTCTTCGTCGTGGCCGTCGTCGTCGTCGTCGTCGTCGTCGTCGTCGTCGGCGTCGTCGTCGTCGTCGTCGTCGTCGTCGTCGTCGCGTTATCGCCGTCCTCCCTCCCCCCTCGTCGTTGTCATCGTTGTCGTCGTTGTCGCCGTCGTAGTCCTCCCTCCTCCCTCGTCGTCGTCGTCGTCTTAGTTGGCGTCGTCGTCGTCGTCGTCTTCGTCGTCGTCGGCGTCGTCGTCGTCGTCGTCGTCGTCGTCGGCGTCGTCGTCGCCGGCGTTGTCATCGTCGTCGTCGTGGGCGTCGTCGTCGTCGTCGTCGGTGTCGTCGTCGTCATCGTCGTCGTTGCCGTCGTCGTCGAGGTCGTTGGAGACGTCATCGGTGTCGTCGTAGTCGGTGTCGTCGGCGTCGTCGTCGCCGAGGTCGTCGCTATCGCTGTCGTCGTCGGCGTCGTTGCCAAGTGCCATTTGGTACCTACCGTCACGTTCTTAAGAGGTCTTTCGACCAAGTTGCGGGTGGGAGGGTGGGATGTTTGCACGAGCAGTGGAGACGACAGCTTCAAGACAGTCAAAGTGAATTCTTTTTTCTAGAAGAAGAATGAATCGACTACCCCCCCTGGAGGTAACGATCCCCCCTGGGGTATTGTGATTTCGTATTTATTCTACACACTCGTCCATCCTAAATCTGAATTCATACTATCCCAGCCGAGCTGGTATTACTTCCCCCCACCATCCTGTGCAAACAATACTATGCGCGCATTCTCGTTTATCAAAAATTAGAAGTTTCCAAGACTCCTTTGCAAACAACGGGACCAAGTGCACACGCGCGCGTCGTCGCGCGCGCATGCCGGAATCCTTCAAGTTCCTGCGGTTTCGGAAGGATTTCAAAATCGAGTTCCCCCAGAAACATACAAAAACACATGTTTTCGCAACCTTGATTTAAAAAAAAGCTTACGCGCGCGCTCTTGCGAAATCTTACAACAACTAATGGGTTTTTCCCTACCTAGGCTCTGCCTAGAAGGGTTCTTACTCTGTAGCTTAAAGGGGCCGGGCAGTGGAAATCGCCCCGGGCGGTTCCCCCAGTCCCCCGGGAGCCATGCAAAAGCAACAGCAAAGTTAAAAGCAAACGCGCGGTTCCCCCAGTTGCGCTTCCTGGGTGCCAAGCAAAAGCAAAAGCAAAGGAAAAAGTGAAGGCAAAAGTGAAGGCAAAGCAAAAGCATAGCATAGCATAGCATAGCATAGCATAGCGCATAATAGCATATTAGTGCAGCATAGCATAGCATAGCCTAGCCTAGCCTAGCCCAGCATAGCATTGCGCAGCATAGCATAGCATAGCATAGCATAGCAGAGCAGAGCAGAGCATAGCATAGCATAGCATAGCATAGAGGTTGCTTTCCTAGAGGCTCCAACTCCTAGGTAGGGTCGCACTGGGATAATTAAAGCTTTTCAAAAGCAGATACTACCAAACGGGCTTCGCGCGCGCATGTCGAAATCTTTCGAACTCCCTTGCGCGCGTGTCGTCGCGAGAATCCTCTGCAACAGATGGGACGAAGTGCAGACGCGCGCGTCGTCGCGCGCGCATGCCGAAATCCTTCAAACACCTTGAGTTTCGGAAGGATTTCAAAATCGAATTACCCCCAAAACATACAAAACATAAGGTTTCGCAATACGTATTTTAAACAAAAGCGTGCAAGCGCGCTCTTGCGTCGTCGTCGTCGTCGTCGTCGTCGTCGCCGTCCTCCCTCCTCCCTCGTCGTCGTCGTCGCCGTCGTTGTCCTCTGTCTTTCCTCGTCGTCGTCGTCGTCGTCTTGGCGTCGTTTCCGTCGTCGTTGTCGCCGTGGTCGTCCTTCCTCCCTCGTCGTCTTCGTCGGCGTTTCGTCGTTGTCCCTCCTATTTCGTCGCCGTCGTCGTCGTCGTCGTCATCGTCGTCTTCCCTCCTCCCTCGTCGTTGTCGTCGTCGCCGTCGTCGTCCTCCCTCCTCCCTCGTCGTCGTCGTTGTTGTCGTCGTCGTCTTCGTCGTGGCCGTCGTCGTCGTCGTCGTCGTCGTCGTCGGTGTCGTCGTCGTCGTCGGCGTCGTCGTCGTCGTCGTCGGCGTTGTCATCGTCGTCGTCGTCAGCGTCGGCGTCGTCGTCGTCGTCGTCGTCGTCGTCGTCGTCGTCGTCGTCGGTGTTGTCGTCGTCTTTGTCGTTGTCGTCGTCGTCGTCAAAGTCGTTGGAGACATCGTTGGTGTCGTCGTAGTCGTCGTTGGCGGCGTCGTCGTCGTCGTCGTTGTCGCTGTCGTCGTCGGCGTCTGTGTCGTTGCCAAGTGCAATTTGGTACCCACCGTCACGGTCTTAAGAGGTCTTTCGACCAAGTTGCGGGTGGGAGGGGGGGATGTTTACACGAGCAGTGGAGAGGACAGCTTCAAGTTGAGCAAGTGATTGACTGCACCTCATGGCTTCACCGTCGATTTTGCGCCACGTACCGCCCCCCCGGACTTAACGATCCACCTTTCCGTATTGCAATTTGCATATGGTTCTGCCCCATCGTCCATCCAAAGTATGAAGTTGCATTATCCCAGGGTAACCTGTATCGCCCCCCCCCGTCACCCCCTGCAAAAAATACTATGCGCGCGCACTCGTTTATCAAAAATCACAAGTTTTCAAGACTCACTTGCAAAAAACGGGACGAAGTGCACACGCGCGCGTCGTCGCGCGCGCATGCCGAAATCCTTCTTCAAAAATGGTCGGTTTCGGAATGATTTCAGAATCGAGTGTCCAAAAAACATACAACACAAGGTTTCGCAACACGAATTTTCTAAAAAAGCGTACGCGCGCGCATGTCGAAATAGCTCGCACGCCATTGCGCGCGTGCCGTCGCGAGTCCTTTGCAAAAAACGAGACGAAGTGCACGCGCGCGCGCGTCGTCGCGCGCGCATGCCGAAATCCTTCAAAAACCTTCGGTTTTGGAAAGATTTCAAAATCGAGTGCCCTAATAACATACAAAAAACACAGGTTTTCGCAACACGGATTTTCAACAAACGCGCGCGCGCGCGCGCTCTTGCGTCGTCGTCGTCGTCGTCGTCGTCCTCCCTCCTCCCTCGTCGTCGTCGCCGCCACGGCCGTCGTCGTCCTCTGTCTTTCCTCGTCCTCGTCGTCGTCGTCCTCTTTTGGCGTCGTCCTTGTTTCCGTCGTCGTTGTCGCTGTGGTCGTCCTTCCTCCTCCCTCGTCGTCGTCGTCGTCGTCCGTCGTCGGCGTCTCGTCGTCGTCCCTCCTATTCCGTCGTTGTCGTCGTCGTCGTCGTCGTCGTTGTCGTCGTCGTCGTCGTCTTCCCTCCGTCGTCGTTGTCGTAGGCGGCGTCGCCGTCCTCCCTCCTTCTTCGTCGTTCGCGTCGTCGCCGTCCTCCCTCCTCCCTCGTCGTTGTCGTCCTTGTCGCCGTCGTCGTCCTCCCTCCTCCCTCGTCGTCGTCGTCGTCTTCGTCGGCGACGTCGTCGCCGTCGTCGTCGGCGTCGTCGTCTTCGTCGTCTTCGTCATCGTCGTCGCCGTCGTCGTCGTCGTCATCGTCGTCGGCGTCGTCGTCGGCGTCGGCGTCGTCGTCGTCGTCCGTGTCGTCGTCGTCGTCGTCGTCGTCGTCGTCGGCGTTGTCATCGTCGTCGTCGTCGTCGGCGTCGGCGTCGGCGTCGTCGTCGTCGTCCGTGTCGTCGTCGTCGTCGTCGTCGTTGTCGTTGTCGTCGTCGTCGTCGGAGTCGTCGTCGGTGTCGTCGTCGTAGTCGTCGTCGGCGTCGTCGCCGGCGGCGTCGTCGTCGTCGTTGTCGCTGTCGTCGTCGGCGTCGTTGCCAAGTGCCATTTGGTACCTACCGTCACGTTCTTAAGAGGTCTTGCGACCAAGTTGCGGGTGGGAGGGTGGGATGTTTACACGAGCAGTGGAGAGGACAACTTCAAGTTGAGCAAGTGATTGATTGCACCACATATACTGCACCACGTAGTATGCTAGAACGCACTGTTTGGGGTCCACGCTGGCTAACATTTTACAGAAAAGAAAGCTTCTGCTGGACTGGGGTGGGCGCCCTGTCCCCGTCCCCCCTGTGATGGAAACCTCATTTCCTTGCCACACGTTCGTGACCTGGGAAGGCTGTGCTGACGAGAATCGCGTATTCGTTACAAACGAAAGCGGCTGCTGGACCAGGGCGGGAACCCTCTCCCTGTTTCCCCTTTGACAAGAGTCCTATGGCCCCGCAACGCGCTCGTGAATGGGAAGGCGGGGGTGGTGAGAATGGTATCGTGTCTTGTGAAGGCCTTGCGGCCAGAGCCGCCGACCCAGAAGGACGACGACCACGACGACCACGGCGACGACAACGACGACAGCGAAAACGACGAGCTGATGACCCTGCCACAGGCTCGGGACATGGGGAAGTCGGTGGAGGGAGGAGAAGGAGGAGGAGGAGGAGAAGGAGGAAGAGGAAGAGGAGGAAGAGGATGATGATGCTGCTGCTGATGATGCTGATGATGATGCTGATGATGCTAATGGTAAGGATGATAATAATAATAATAATAATAATGATGATGATGATGATGATGAAGGTGATGATGATGATGATGATGATGTTGATGATGATGATGATGATGGTGAAGGTGATGATGATGATGATGATGATGATGGTGACGAGATTGGAGGAGGACAAGGAGGGGAAGGGAAGGGGAGCTGGATGATGGTGATGATGATTATGAGGATGGTGATGATACTGATGCTGCTGCTTCTGATGATAATGATGATGATGCTGCTGCTTCTGATGATAATGACGATAATGATGATGATGATGATGATGATGATGATGATGATGATGATGATGATGATGATGATGATGATGAGGATGAGGATGAGGATGAGGATGAGGATGAGGATGAGGATGAGGATGAGGATGATGATGATGATGATGATGATGATGATGATGATGATGATGATGATGATGATGATGATGATGATGACGATGGTGGTGGTGGTGGTGATGATGATGATGATACTGGAGGATGGGGATGATGAGGAGGAGGAGGTGGAGGAGGAGGAGGAAGATGAGAGCCGTCTCCGTCTGTCTCCTCGGGGGCGGGCGCGTGGGAGGCGAAAACAGACTTGGAAAGCCCCCAGCGGGGGAAAGGGCACAACCCTCGGGCCCCCCCCTCGGACCCCCCGGGACCACCCAGGGACCCCCCCCTCTCGGGACCCCCCCTCCTGGCGAGGAAGAGACAAAGGGAAGGGGCTTCCGTTTGACGTAATGACGACGTTGCTCGATCGCTCTTGTTTGTTCGACCGCCCTTACGACGACGACGATTCAAAGGAGGCTGGCGTACTTCAGTTTGGGTTGGGCTGGTCTCGCGTCGCAGGGCCTCTCACACACGCCGACTAGTTCGGCGGCTTTTTTATAAAGGGAGAGCGGCTGCTGAACTCTGGCGGGCGCTTTCTCCCCGTCTCCCTTGTGAGGTATTATGCTGATTTTAATTACCTGGGGAAACGGCTGCCAGACAAGGGCGGGCACTCTTTCCCCGTTCCCCCTGCGAGGTACCGTGCGAACGTTTTTCTAATTTCATTAGAACCTCTGCCGAACAAGCACCCTTCAGGAAAAATAATGACTTCCACTGAGACCCTCCACTCCAGGGCACCACGCACCCCCCGAAACGATAGGGGGGGATAGGCTCAGTGGGGAAGGCATCGGCCCCCCATCGCCCATCCGTCGCCAGTCGGGGTCCGGGCTCCCGCCTGCTCACCTACAAGGGGTTTCCCTACCGGGGCCCTACCGCCGATCGATCGGTGATGGATCGTCGATTGAAAGCCAATCTGAGCCAGCCCTCCCGTGTCGTTCCCCCTCATCGCCCGCACCAGGGCCACGTGCCCTCCCTTCCCTCCTCCTCCTCTCCTGCAGCCGCTCCAGCCCTCTGCAGGTGCAGCACGCCGGGGCCGTCCTGTGGTTGTCCTGCCTGTCGGTGGGCGCCCTGGCGGGCTGACCGGCGCGGTCGGCAGGGCAGTCCGCGGCTGGCCGTGGCTCCTGGTGGAGCCCACGGCAGTTTCGCGACGCCTCGACGCGGCGGCGACTCCTCAAGAGTTTTGTTTTTTTCTTGGTGGATACATATATATATATATATATATATATATATATATATATATATATATATATTAGTGTGTGTGTGTGTGCGTGTGTGTGTGTGTTTTGGTTTGGGAGGCCCCCCTCGTTGCCCAGCTTGACGCAGCTCGAAAGACTGGTCAGGGTACTGTCCGGGATGGGTCTCGGGATGGTTTTTGAGCGAAAAATGCCGTCTGGACGTGCGCGCCGATTCCACGTGGTGGCGATACCTGCGTGGGCGTTCTAGGTTGTGACCGCCATCTGGATGTCCGCTTCGGGCGCCTGAACCTGCAAAGACAGCCCACGGCGGGAAACAAGCCTGTACGAAAGACGGGGTCGACTGCCTCCAGGGCAGCCGACGGCGGAGATAACTCAAGGCTGAACGGCTCATGCGGTGGCAGAGGACGGGGTGCACATCTTCGCGGCACGGACCTGCCGTGTCCGACGGGGAGATCCGCGGCCGTGGCGATCTCTCTCGCAGCAGGTGCTCGAGTCCGAGAACGGCCTGGCCCCAGACCTCCAGGCGCGGGGAAATCAGTCAGGGGAGGAAAAACCACCCAGACCGGACAATTGGCGTTTACTAAACGGTCCTGGGCGTTTATTAGACGGCCCTGCCCTGTTTAAATCCTTATTTGGGTGCGTTTACTAAGCGGCTTCGCGTGTCGGGGTGGTTATTCTAGGGGTGGATTTTCTGCTCTTTAATCAGAGCTGCGCCGGGCGTTTTGCAGCCGTTCGACCGCTGGGGTCTGGCGCCCGGACGCTGGGGCCACCAAGGGCAACGTTCCATGGCGAGCAGCCAGGCCTGGCCACGGGCGTGGCCACGGGCGCGGGCCGTGTGGCAGCCTGCAGGAGGAGGAGGAGGAGGACGAGGAGGAGGAGGAGGAGGAGGAGGAGGAGGAGGAGAGGAGGAGGAGGAGGAGGAGGAGGAGGAGGAGGAGGAGGAGGAGGAGGAGTGGAGGAGGAGGAGGAGGAGGAGGAGGAGAAAAAACGATCCGCTTGCCTGGCCTGGCGCGGGCGCGCCGAGGCGGCCTTCTGGACGACCGACATGCTCGTGCAGTTCAGGACCGGCTACTACCAGGACGGGGAGCTGGAGATGAGGCCTGGCGGGGGGTCCTCCTGCTCCTCCTCCTCCTCCTCCTCCTCCTCTCCTCCTCCCCCCCTCCTCCTCCTCCTCCTCCTCTCTGCTCCTCCTCCTCCTCCTCCTCCTCCTCCTCCTCCTTCTGCTCTCCTCCTCCTCCTCCTCCTCCCGTTCCTCCTCCTCCTCCTCCTCCTCCTCCTCCTCCTCATATCGAAGATCGAGGGCACCTTGTCTAGCTTACTTGGGGCTGCTTCGGGCGCCAAGGTGACGGCGGAAGCCGACCCGACGAAAGTGGGCATCATCACTTTCCGCACCGTACCCGAGAAAATCACATTCTTCAAAAGGATGCACTCTGACGGCAACAACGTGGAGAAGGACGGACTACACTTCCGGAACAACCGTGCGTTCGAGGAACGCGCCATGGAGAAGCGGCTAGGGTACGTGAAGCATCACATCACCAACGAGGGGAAAGCAAAGATGGAAGATGTCAAGATATTGTGGCAGTCGGCTATGGTTACAGTGAGGGGCAAGAAGGTGGCCTGGTAAGATACCAATAGCATTTGGCGCACGACGACTGCGGCCAAAGCGGTGAACGAGAAGATCGAGGAGTCCATGAAGAAGTGGGAAGCTAAAAACACCGGGGCCCAAGCACGGATAAGTCCGAATGACTCGCGTGCCCGACGTATGCGAAGAGAACGGTAGTGGGAATGGGAGTGGGTACTAACATTGAGTTATCCAGTAATACCTATTCAAGTTTTGAGTTTCACCAGTCTGTTTCAATTGAGGGTTCCTGTATGCCCTCTGAGCCCAGACCGCAGGCTCCAGCAAGCTTTGGAGGTGGACGAGGCAGAGGAGCTTACGCTGAAATTCCTGGATGTGTCCCTAGTTGTCTACTGACCCCTCGCCGACCTCTCCCTCCATCCTGCTCTACCCACCGGCCCCCCAGCGACGAAGCAGAAGCGTTCACGATAATTTGCAAGAACGTGAGAGGCCTCAGGAGTGACGATCGATTTGTGTAGCTATTGCAAGAAGTTGGGGATCTGCGCTGGGATGTTCTCACAATCAATGAGACCATGCGGCCGATTCATGACGAAATGTGGGAGACACAAGATGGGCTCGTGTTCATGGGGGCCGGAGGGGACACATATAAGCATGGAGTCGGGATCTTGTTGCACAAAGGATGGTCATCACACGTGTCACGATTTGTTCCTATGAACGAACGCGTTGCCTACGTGGACGTCCAGTGCGCGCAGCTCCGGGCACGTTTCATTCCTGCGTACTTCCCGCACGGGAAGTATATCGACCAGCACGTCCAGGACATTTACGACATATTGACTGACACTGTGAGGGCGTCTAGATCGCGAAACCTCCACGTGGTGATCGGCTCCGACTGCAAAGCGCAAGCAGGACCATTGGAGGACTAGGACAATTCAAAAGTTTGTGGGATGCACGTTCACGGACCGGGAAATCATAGAGGCCAGTGTTTGAAGAATTGGGCAAGCGCACAGAACCTTGTATGGACGAGCACGATGTTCAAAAAACAGCAGTACCTACTACCGACTTACCACAAAGTCCACCAGGGCCCCAAGCAGATCGATTACATTTTGGTTTCCAGAGGATTTTGGAGGACGGTCTTGGATTCAGTCGCGTGCTCGTGCGTTGACTTGGGATCTGATCACACAACGGTGCGGCTACGGAGCAACATCCTGGAGTCAGCGCAGAAAACAGAGAAACATTCTGACCAGAAGCCCAACGCCAGAAAACGTTCTGGACATCAATGGTGCCCTCTCTGTCAGCATCTCTGCACGTCATCAATGGAAAACGCAGAATTCAAGGACCAGTTGTCTTGTTCAGTGCAGGAGAAGTACGACGCGATTCATAATGTCATTCACCAGTCTATGGCTGAAGCTAGCCGCGACGAAGAGCCGCCGGTGGAGGCTCGGGAACGATAATCACGATTGCAAGAGCCTATTCGTCAGCAGAAGGGCCTGGCAGCGGAGAATGGCGACCAGAGGCGGGAATTAAGCATTCGAGTCAAACGAGAAATGAGAACTCAACAACGATTACGGCGCAGGGAGCGGATCGAACGTATATTTGTAGAGTTCAAGGGGTTCGGCAGCATCAAGAAGATCAAACTTGGCAAAAGCAAATGCGTGAGCACGAGCATGCGGAGAGACGATGGGAACGTTGCGTGCGACCGACAGGAGATTGCAGATGTGTTCGCCGACTTTCGCCAGAAGCTGTATGCGCGCACTCCTGCGTCGGGCGCCTGGGGGAGTGGAGACAGAGGGTCTGATTCTCAGGGGGTGCTCATTCATCCTCTCACGATGGACGAATTGCAGACAGGATTAAAGCAGCTGAAGAAGGGGAAATCAGCGGACACAGAAGGCATTGCGGCAGAGATGCTCAGACATGGTGGGCGGAGTTTGAATGCAGTTCTGTTGGATCTGTAAAATTCCGTATTGCAGCCAGGAGCGGTACCTCTGGAGAAATGGAGGCATGCCCAAATCAGCGTTATACGCAAAGCTGGACCTGGGGACCTTCCAGGGGATCGCAGACCAGTGAGTCTCATCCCATTGCTGTACAAATTGTTTTGTTCCCGATTTCTTTATAACAGATTGGAGCCCGTGCTCGATGCCCGGCAACGGCCCGAGCAAGCTGGATTTCGCAGACATTTCAGCGCTGCCGATCATCTGTTCACATTGACAATGGTTCGCGAGACTACGCGGGAGCGGCAGATCCCAATGTGGGCGGCGACGCTGGACTTCAAGAAGGCCTTTGATACTGTAGCAGATGAGTCCATGTGGGGCGCAATGGCAGCGCAGGGCGTCCCCGAGCCGCGCATTTCATTGATCGCCAACCTGTGCTCCGACCAGACCGCAACCGCCAAGACAGACAGGCTTAGCAGGAAGTTCAACATCGAGCGAGGCACAAAGCAGGGCAATCCGCTAAGTTCTTTGTTGTTTAATTGCCTTTCGGAGCATGTGTTCAGGCAGATTAAGCCCGCGTGGGGATCCAGAAAGTGCGGCTTGCCAGTGCGACTTGGAAGCAGTCCTACGTTGACAAATGTATGTTTTGCCGATGATGTCATATTGGTTGGGCAATCCCTCGCTCAAGTCAAGCGTATGTTGTCCAGCGTTTCGGTTGCAGCAGGGGCAGTGGGTCTCCAACTTCACCCGGACAAGACGAATATACTACACAATGATCAAGGTCGCACCCCCAAGGGATCAACCCGAACAAGCAGACGTCGGCGGGATGCACATCGATATTCTGCCGTTCAGTGGAACGCAGAAGTACTTGGGCCGCACATTTACATTTTCTGCCTCGGCGGACGTCGAGGTGGATGCGTGCATTCAGGCTGCCCCCCGAGAGAAATTTGGGATGTTCAAACAAGAGCTCGCGTCAGGCTCTTATTATCTTCGTGATAAGTTCCGCCTGTTCAATGGAACGGTGTCTCCGACATTGCTATGCGGTTCATCATCGTGGACTTCGACAAAAAGCTTGGAGCGGCAAATTCGCAGCACTCAGAGGCGAATGCTTCGTATGATTGTTCGAGCGCCGCGACATCGGACGCGCGGCTGCGCCAGCTCGGGGGAACAGCGCCGTGAACAAGATGATAGTAGTGTGTCTGAGAGAGGAGGCGGTCAAAGGGGAGGGCACGATGCCACCGCAGATATCGACGACATGGCATCGAGTTTACCATCCAGCTCTAGCGGCAATTCCGGCGATCTCGAACCCTGGCGCGAATGGGTGCGGCGAGCTACACGTTGCGCCGTGCAGCAGATGGAAGCTATGGGGTGCCGGGATTGGGTGACAATGCGACGTCGGTGCAAGTGGGACTTGGCACAGCAAGTTGTTATCAAGGACCGACACAAATTGAGTAATGCTGTCCTCCAGTGGGATCCTACTGCGCAGCCGTGGCCGGTGCAGAGGTCAATTGGAAGACCTAAGCAGAGGTGGGCCGACGATCTTGCAGCGACTGTGCGAAAACACCACGGCGGTGGCAACAAGTGGAGGTCTATCGCAGGGAATCCGTCCGAGTGGGAACGGATTGGTAAATTCTTCACGCTTCGCGCATCCCCACCAGCCCATCTCAAAACAGCAACTCTTGCGAAGCATGCCGACAGTTGTGTTTTTCAGGCGTGTTTCCGCCTGCCCCCGCATATCTCCCCTGTTTCTCCTTCCTCCCGCCTCCTTGTACATCCTCCTTGTGGTGGGAGCGGAAGAAGGACGAGGCGGAGGAGGAGGAGGGAGAGAAAGCGCTCCTCGTGGTTTGAGTCGTTTGGGGTTTCTCGTCCTGGTGTGAGTCGTTCGGGCCCTTCTTCCTGGTGTGAATCGTTCGGGCTCTTCGTGGTGTGAGTCGTTCGGGCTCTTCGTCCTGGTGTGAGTCGTTCGGGCTTCTCGTGGTGTGAGTTGTTCGGGCCCCTCGTCCTGGTGTGAGTCGTTCGGGCCCCTCCTCCTGGTGTGACTCGTTCGGGCTCCTCGTGGTGTGAGTCGTTCGGGGCCCTCGTCGTGGTGTGAGTCGTTCGGGCTCCTCGTGGTGTGAGTCGTTCGGGCGCCTCGTCCTGGTGTGAGTCGTTCGGGCCCCTCCTTCTGGTGTGAGTCGTTCGGGCTCTTCGTGGTGTGAGTCGTTCGGGCCCCTCGTCCTGGTGTGAGTCGTTCGGGCTCCTCGTGGCGTGAGGCGTTCGGGCACCTCGTCCCCTTTTGGGGCGTCTTGGGGGCCTCTTGGCGGCCCCAGGGGCTTCTAGGAGCGTCTTGGGTGCCTTGGGGGAGCCTCTTCGGGCCTCTTGGGAGCCTCTTGGAGGCCGTTTGGGGCGTCTTGGGGGCCTCTTGGCGGCCCCAGGGGCTTCCAGGAGCGTCTTGGGTGCCTCGGGGGAGCCTCTTGGGGCCTCTTGGGGGCCTCTTGGGGGCATCTTGGGGGCCTCTTGGAGGCCTCTTGGGGGCCTCCTGGGGGCCTCTTGGGGCCATCTTGGGGCCTCTTGGTGCCTCCTGGGCGCTTCTTGGGGCCATCTTGGAGGGAATCGATCAAAGAAGAGGGGAGCTTTAATGAGCGCTGCCCCCATCAGAAGGGCAAAATGAGGCCAACACCTTCGTAAAATCAATGATTTTGCCTTGAAAGAAGAGGGGAGCTTTAAGGAGCGCTGGCCCCTCAGAAGGCCAAAATGGGGCCAAAACCGTAGTAAAATCAATGATTTTGGCTTCGAAGAAGAGGAGAGGGTTTTTTTCTGGGCCCCCCCGTCGGGGCCAGAATCCTCGTGAGGGGTAAACCCCTCCCCGAAGGGGAAGAAGGGGGGTTGAGAACAGAGAGAGCTCTCTAAACCACTCACGCCCAAAGGGCTGGTGGGATTATATGTGTCAGGCGACTAAGTGACCGGCGCCCCGGCGCCTCCTCCCTGCCAAGCGCGTGGCCGCCCTCCGGGGCGAGTTGGGGGCTGCCTGCCTGTCTGCCTGCCTGCCTGCCGCCTTCCGCCCGCCTTCCGCCGGCTTCCGCAGGCGGAAGGTGGCCTT